TGAGTGCAAGAGATCTCCACACTTCTTTCAGACTAATGAACGCCTGTCTTGCTGTTTTTCCGATTCTGACTTTGACATCCTGGTCTGTGCCACCACCTGTAGTTGAAACAGTGCTTCCTAGATAGGTGAAGGAGGTTACTTCCTTTAAGTTTCTCCCGTTGATGGTGATTGGAGTTTGTTGTTGGTGGTGGTGCGGTATTTTCATGACCTCTGTCTTCTCTATATTTACTTGAAGCCGCGTCTTCACCACCTGCCTCTTCTTTTACCTTGTTAGTTTTTGCCTGTAGATTTTCGAGTTTGTGCGACATCAGATACAAGTCATCATCGGCGAAATCCAAGTCTTCCAGGTTCTTTTCCGCGGTCCAGCGTATCCCCTCTTCTCGTTCCTCACTGCTTGTTGCATGATCCAGTCGACCACAATCAAGAATATCATAGGTGATAGTAGATAGCCTTGTTTCACTCCTGTCTTTACTTCAAAAGCATCACTGAGCTTCCCATTGTGAATTACTTGGGATGAGTCGTCTTCATATAGTTGTTGAATGAGATTGATAAAGGTTTGTGGTATTCCGTAGTGTTGACCTCTCGGTTGACGCTGTCAAAGGCCTTCTTAAAGTCGATAAAGTTGAGGTAGAGAGTCGACTGTAATTCTATACTCTGTTCTTTGATGATACAAGGCGTAGCGATTTGGTGCGCACATGATTTTTACTTCCTGAAGCCCGCCTGTTCCAGTCGTAGTTTTGAATCCAGTGCATCGTTTAGTTGCTCCAAGATGATACGTCATGATATTTTGCTTGGGTTGGACAGTAGCATGATTCCTCGCTAGTTCTTGCAAAGACTTAGGTCTCCCTTTTTTGAGAGTTTGACAAGGCAGCCTTTCTTCCAATAAATGGGCAGATACCTTTCTTTCCTTCCCTCCAAACCTTCTGTAGTTTAGGTGTGAGCATGTTCTCTGTTGTCTCTGAGTCTGTTTTCAGTGCTTCTGGCAGGATTCCATCTGGTCCTGCTGCTTTCCCGCATTTCAGTAGCTTTATGGCGCTCACGACTTCCACTTTTGTCGGGGAATTTATGTTCACTTGTGGTTCCGTGGCTGCAGATGGTATTTGTGGACGAGTTGCAGATGGTGGTGGTGGTGGTCGATTCAAGAGCTTCTTAAAGTGGTCAGCCCATCGTTTCCTTTGTTTCTCTTCTTTCGTAATTAAATTTCTGTCATCATCTTTTATTGGTTTCATCTGTGTTGATCTCTTCCTAGATAGTAACCTTATTACTTGATAAAATGCTATCAGGTCTCTCCTACCTGTAGCCCGTTTTGATTCACTTGCCAGTTTCTCGTGAAATTGCTCACTGGTGGGTAACCAACAAAAGTGTTCATTCCCTACTGCTCAGCAAGGACCGAAATATTTTGAATAAATTTGATTTCTACTGACCGACTCCCAATATCTAACACTCGAATACAATTTCACGTCGTTACTTATATTAAGGGCTATATTGCAAGATTGATTTATAGATTTCGATCAGTACTAACCACTTTTGACGTGTCCACTTAATGCTATTAACTATTTATCATAACGAAAGTGAAACTACTATTTAAAGTCTTCAGATGTACTATCATTTGAATCGTTATCGTTACGATGATAATCAATTTCTAACATAAAAGTGCAAAAACCTGTTTGACTTTCACTAATTATCATTCCTAGGCCTCTGACTTTCATCTGTATGAGAAATAATCCCTAATTACATAAGCTTTTGCTTGTATTCTTTGAAATGTAGCGTGACCTTCAACACTTTACATATTAACTCTTCAGAAAATATTATTTCATATCTTACTGATTTTTTCTTAACTATGAGCGATTTATAATCATGTTATTAAAATATTTCTTTTCAATAAGTGATCATTTATTTTATTACACTATCTTAGTTCGATCCTCATGTTCAAGCACATGATTGATGATTATGACCACTCTACCAACGAAAATCATTTCTGAAAGCTTTATTACCAGCACTCAGTTAGATAGTTGATCGTGTCTACTTGCTAACTTACTTCGATTTTTATTGACATAAAGGACGGCCACCTGGAAAGCCAAAATGTGATTAAGCATATATTTACTTAGAGTTTTTATTTTTAGGGTTGGCTTTTTGTTGACAGTCAGGTAAACTGAAACCTATCGACTTCCTTGTTCGAGAACAGTGTTTAAAATCCCGAAGGTTTCTCAATTGATGAAATACCCAGCTGGAAATCCGGTGGTTTCTGGCTTGAATCCTGCGGTGGCCTAGACTTTTGTTTCACTTTGAATCCTTATCCAGTACCAAAGGTTTCTGTTTCACAACTTAATACGACTAAGTTTTTCGTTCATTTTAGTCAGCATTTCTTATTATGTACATTAGCAAACGTTTCAATCATCAAGTATTTTATTTTGGTAGTAGATTGAAATTCAAATGAGATTCACAGAAAAATTTAAAAAACTCTGTTTCCTGTCTTTTCTCCCAAAATTGACTGAACCCAGAAATGATATGTCATCTTCGCCTATGTGATACAGTTGTCTCATAGTTTTTCAATATAAATTATTGAACAGATAATGATATGAATTTTTATCATGACAGAGTGGGTTTGTGCTTGCGAAATTTTAGTCACAATTATCCTCAGCCATAGTATTGAAAGGCGTCATGATATTGCTACAGAAGGGTGTGTTTATGGCACTGTAAACTGGGATGTAGGTGACAGGCCCATGTTACGTAAGACTGGCGTACCAGAACATTTCGCTTGCTAGTATATGTTACACAGTGGTGAATAAAGATGTCTACTAAATTTTGCTTAGTCGTTTGTCGTAAATATGTTGCTGTCTTCTTAGAACCGTTAAACTACAATTTTCTTCTGTGGCTGCAAACATATGAACGGTGTTGCTGAGTATCGTGACATAATAATAACGATAACAATCATCATTATAATCGCTTTACTTCTGACAATATGTGTGATACAGTGAAGAATTCTCAGTATTTAATATTTGGACAAACTCATCCCCTATAGAATATTGTTAAGAGAAATAATTATTGTACACTAAACAAAAGGATTTCATATTTTCTAAAGCTTGTTCTTGATTTTATAAGTTGAAAACGTCTTCTGATTCCAGCCTTATTGAGGATCTTCCATAAGACTTCTAAAGTTTTTCCTTGTATGGTAACAGTGTTTCAAAGTTGTGAAGCTACCTTGATATAAAGATGGACAGTAAAGATGGAGAGTGTCCATAATCTCATCCGGTACATAATGTTTCACTTCATGATATATATATATATATATATATATATATATATATATATATATATATATATATATATATATATATATATACTAAACAAACTAAGACGGAATAACAGTCTACCATAGTGCTCAAGTTTTAATCTTATATTATTGACCTGAATACCATTCTTGCCGACTGGACTTACACATCTTACAACAAATTACGGTATACAAGAGTGTCATATCACGCAATGATTCCACTGCAAACCAAATTAATATACGTAGGTCAATGTTGAGCATTAAAGACTAAACAGCTGCGTCGGTTAACATATGGTGACTGATTTGGGTGGAATGAATTTCAATGAAAGTTTCAAAAGCAATGATTTATAAGTGATTAGTCTTTAGTTATTTGAAGAGATTTCTTCATTTCTTTACACTGCTCATTATATATAAGGATTTCGAAGAATCACGTACTCCTTTCAAAAGCCTAAACATTCTTGTCTTTCTTAGCGTATTCATCACGAGGAACTTAATTACTGAGTAATTCTCAAAACAAACAGTCTCATAAAATACAAGCGATAGAGTCTTTATAGTTGCTACTACCGTTTGATATCCATCCATTTGTGTCCACAAAGTATTTACTAACCTATTACCATTGTATATTATCAAAGAAATACTGCCAGTTTCCCGTATAAACACTGCAACGTCATGCATCTTTGTACATAAATTCAACATTTATCTACACTGCATTAATTCTATGGCTCATTGATTTATTTTACTTTTTATCTATCCGTTACCTTTCTTCTACTTCTTATGACAGTTGTTTACTTTAAAGCTAAACAAAACAGGTTCTATCCTTCGACGTTTTTGTGTAAACCTACTAATGAAACGTTATTGATGATAGATATTACCTCCTCTCTGTCTTATCTGTAATTCCTTATTCTACAAATATTGATCTTATGCAGTTCAACAGGTTCAGGTGAACCGTGTTTAGTGTTTGAGTATGTTTATCAATCATACTGATTAGCAAACTTTGCATGCCACAGATTGGTTGAAGTGACAATTGGCATCCATAGGTTATTTTCTAAAATACAAACTGTTTTATCAGCTTAAAAAATCAGGTTGCAGGTAAAATATTTCTCCTCTGGTGATAACTCGTACTGATCAGCATTCCATGCTAGTTTAGTCACCACATATCATGTAATGATAGTCATTTACTGCATTAGTTCGAACTTTTTCACCAGGGAACTGTGAATTATAAATAACTATGATGACTAGAGTGACCTCGACGCTATATCCAAATAAAACGTGTCTTGGAAAGCGACTGAACCACTAGGACACGTCACATAGTGGAATGATAATATGTGCTGGATTATCTCTCATCTACACTTTGAAGTTGGTATATTTTATATTTTGCAACCTGTTATCAGGTTTTCTTTTAGTATACAAGAAATCGTAGTTTCCTAAAACGGAGTAGCGAGATTACGATACGGTATCAGTTCATGAAGTTCCTGACTTGAGTTGAATCTTATAAGGCAATGCAGAATCATGATGACAACGAAAATATGTTTTTTGGGGCGTTATATGATTTCACCCAGCATTCCTCACAGTGTCTCAGATACACTTTCTCTTTAAAACAAATAGTATAACTAATATGATGAGTACACTTTAAGAGTGGATTTGTGTTGAGAAAAAATTAACAAAAACTTATTTTCCACTTCATAATAATAAGGCATGTACCGTATACAATAGAAAATGATTCACTGACCTATCACGTGGTTTTTGTCTGTCTTCCAGCACTTGAGGATCTGAAAACAAAAGGGTGAACAGTTACAAAGCAATTGTAATAAGAATCAAGTGATACATCATTGGCAATGTCTCAGCTATAGATGGACAACAAAAACTATTTCTGAAGATTTCACAAGATTTGGTGGACCTGCTTCCCGTATCTGGTTGACCACTCTAACGACTTGAGATTTTGTCAGGGAACTCGTAATATTGATGCTAAATCTAGTTTGCTGGCATTCGATATTGGTTACGCTTGAAAACTAACATTTTGATCTCATAGCATTTAGACGTCGTCAGTTGAACTGTGCTATTTTCACCATGAAAATATATCTAACCTATTTGTCTTCTTCTATAACTTCTTCAGACTTTTCAGTTATATGTATATGACGCGCTTAGTGAGAAGTTAATCCACAAACTAGGTAAATCAATTCAGAAAATGTTTACAGCCGGTGAATTACAAATTACGTTTTACACACCCAGTGGTGACATGGAAACTGAAAGGTGAATTGCCTGGACCGACAGCTTCCTGTTGTGTTTATGAGTTCAAGTGCCTTTTGGAGTCATTACACTAGCCACAGCAAATGAATTTTAATTTTATGTACTCTCAGACATCTTCCAACTTGGTTAATCAAAAGTGTGATAAAGATCACTAACAGATCTATATTAGGGCATTTAGTTTAGGAGAACTATGTAGTGCATATAAATAAATCATGATTTAGTTATTTACCGATTTTGCATCAACTTGCCAAACGTTACTTGGCCCCGAATCCTTAAGACTTCAGAAGCGCTGGCAGTCATGATCAAACAACTTGAGTTATTTATTGAAGAAAAGCAAGTATCGCCTCTACAACTACCTCGGCCCTGTACAAGATGCATAAATTCCTCAGCATCCTATCCCAGAAAATCCAATTTTCTAGTTCCCTATTGAAGATATCCCTTCATTCTTATAATGTGGAGTAATTTTAGCACATCCTCTCAGTCTTTTTGTCCCAAAACATGAATGACATTCTATCAAGCTGTTATTCCTTAAATTATCTTTCTTGATTTATTTCATCCAGCCCTCATTAGCACTTTTTTACTGTTCCATTATACGATCACTTTACAGCACTACATAGCCCTTATAATTGCTTAGATAATCAACTATTTTGAACTGAACTCCAGTAATAACTGGTTTTGACATTAACTTTGACAAAAGACTTTTCTGAAGAGGATTCCTTAACTGTGTACTAGTATTAACAAATTACTAAAGGAAATATCAATCTTGTTGATACGAATTCCCCAATATGTACATATAAATATAGGACCTAAAGAATAGGTTATAGAAAAGAATATTCTCCGTTCACTGAAGTAGCTTTTAATAGGAATTCTAAATGATATCCAGTCTAATTATTTCCTAGTCTATTGCGCTACAATAGTCAACGTTTTTAGAAATTTATGCCTTTAGAATGTGGTATACAAGGCAAGTGATACTTGAATATTTTAGTTAACATAGCCTAAGATATGTTTCGTAATGATAGGCAGTGGCTAGCAGTGGAATTCAGGATGCGCATTTCGTCCTATTTGGGACTCGTCAGCTGGATGTACCTGCTCCCGAGTCCGAGTCCCGGTGGGAACAACATCACTTACTGGGAATCAGGTACATCCAGCTGACGAGTCCCGAACAGGACGAAATGCGCATCCTGGATTCCACTGCTAGCCACTGCCCATCATTACTAAACATAGTTAAAAGACAGGCCATATCGAGGCATCCGCATAGAAGCCTATATACCAACAGAGGCTGATCAATTCGGTCCTATCAACGACAGTGTAATACAAGCAATAACACTAAAATAGCCTAAGATAGTTTACAGTAACGTAGATGTGACTCTGATGAATATTTTTCTTTTGTGATAACTTTCCTTCCTTGGCTAGGCTTTTCCATTTATTTACTGCTGTTTTTATCATTCTATTGCATACCACTTTTTATATTACTTCCTCATGAGTCAGTTTTCGGAGTAACCCATGTAAAGAGAGATACTGCTGTGCCGTAACTTTCATGGTCTTTATCTGTCTAGTAGTTGCTTATTATGAATAAGTGAACTCTTGACTTCCATATCTCATATCGTATCTCATGCATGTCATGTCAGAAGCTTTTTCTACCTCCAACTGCATTTTTCTAATTATGAGATTGCTTTAAAAGATATGTAAGTTCATCATAACTCAATAAACATTTATATAAAGTCCTATATTGCTCAGTGACTTTAAATATTATTGGGTACGCTGAAAGTTATTTGTCATATGTCCTGTATTTTTATGAGTTATGCGTAAGTAATGCAACCGTTCTCAATGCATCGTATAGGATTGGTTCGAAGTTTGGTTTGTCATTTTTTATCCATATTCTCATCTTTCATGTCAGTGAAGTGACCGAAAGCAACTTAAACTTTGGTCATCACATAATGACAATAATGTGCGGATATACTAAATCTGCACACGAAAACAGCCGCTGCTCACTAAATCCTTATGCTTCACCGTGCTGCTAAACATAAGCAAACGAAAGTTGCTCTTTGACTACTAGAACGAGTTTTTACCGAGCTAAAGTACAGATATCAGCTTCATATACATGAAAAGACTTTAAGGAAAGGATTATATAACTTGTTATCATTGCCCTACTGAAAATCGAGGACCTTAGACCATAAAATGAAGTTCAAAATTTCAGTGAATTAAATGTTAATTTGCTGCTTTCGGTTACTTCTTATCAATCTTCGTACTGCAGTTAAATCAATTCCTATGACATATTTCCTCAAGTTCATGTTGTAATGAATTTTTGCATTAATTAACCACAATCAGATATTGATAGCTGTAGATTACTCCTCCCTACTGATAGTTAAATTAGTAGACAAGAGTAGAATACGTTTGACTACTTACTACTGAAGGGGTATATGTGCTATTAAGTTTTGAGTGGAAGAATATTTAGATCCATCTGTAAGCTGAAAATAAGTACTGCTTGGCTTAATAGGGTAACAAATAAGCAGCAAACTACAGTTACCTTACATGCTTCGATCCTATTTTGTGGTGATACAGTATCTATCAAGATATATCATTCGTCATTATGCAGTAAAATCAACTAGACATTGATTAAAAATGTTATTTCGCTTATTGAATCAATTCAGCTTACCTTGAGCACCAGCCATAAGACATTTTAATCCAGTGACCCATATATTTGCTTCTTCTGGACCAGAAGCTAAAATCTCCAACACGGTAAAATCTGGTCCATAACATATTGTAAATGCACTAGAACTAAGATTCAACACTGTAGTATTCAATGATGATGAACTATGCAGTTGTGGTGACATTGAACCAATTGTCAATGAATTTGAATTATTTGAATAATTACGTGATGGTGACTGGATGAGACTTCCTGATCCAGTAGACGATAAAAAATTATGCGCCAGTGTCGGTGTTAAGCTAAGTGGACGTCTACGTCCAAGAGAATGTGTAGTTCTTGATGAGCATCCTAGCTGAACTTCATGAATCTCTTCAATGTCAACTGAAAGACAGTAGAAAAGAATAAAAAAGAGATGAACGAGGCTCAAGTATTTACTATCATTCAAATCAAAGGTGAATGGTAATGATTTTAAATTGTCAGATGCACTAAAATACTACTAGAAAATATTTTACTTGGTTCAATAAACTTTTTGTTAGATTTTAATGGGGAATGAACAACCGCTTACTTTGACATACCAGACTTCTATGGTGAATATATATATATATATATATATATATATATATATATATATATATATATATATATATATATATATATATATATATAACTAAAGCTCATTTAATTACACACCATCCATGGAATTGTTGTCTAGGAAACAACTTTCATATCGATGGGACTGATAGATTTACAAAATTTGATACTGACCTCATCGAATAGTTTACACTTTTGCATTTTTAAAGTCTTCCTATCATAATATCTTAAAAATGACCAACTGTTTGCTGTCTTGTGGGTAAACACCGTTTTCATCGCCAATACACCAATAAGATAGTAGTAGAACATTGCGAACATCTTTACCGCAAATCCTAATATTTATTGTTGTTACTCTAAGCCTAAATGGAAGCAATATAGGTTCATCAAAGCATGGATCATTTAGGCCTCATTACAATAAGGGTTCATGAATAATTTTCCTTAACCTGATTGTGGATAAGATGAATTTTGAAAAATTTGGTAATACCATGCACATTTGGGTATTCTTGACGCTAATTATACGGTAACTAAAGATGTCAGTGTATTACAGAAATGAGTGATTTCAATGTGCAAATTTCAATCACTGAGATTACAGGTCATTTGAAACGTGAAAAGCTTAGCGGCGAAGTCTCTGACTTCAGCATCGAGCTGTGCAGGTTTAAAGTGCAGATGCAACTCTAATTACCTTCTTGTTTGTTAAATACCTTCCTGATAAATGTCACCAAACACAAAATCTAGGTTGAGCAGGGTTTCCTGCCGACTGACTCGTAGCATATAACTCTCGTCACTATCTTTAGTTATTTATTTAACGGATATAAAAGCAACCAGTAAGACCCACTGATGAAAAAGAACGGTGGCTTAGGCAATGGACGTACATTTTTCGTTTTGAAACACCAAAGCAGGTATTAAAATGTTTACTTCTACTGGATTATTTTCGATTAAGGTTAGGAATAACTCAAATAGACAGTAGGACTGATTCAAATGTGCAGTCTTCATTTTAGTGGTCAACTTCGCAGAACACTACGCTATTACGTCCTGGCGCCGTTAATTATGGTATGCAGGTAATACTACATGATCAAGAGTTTATTTTTGAAATGAACTTAGTAAAGAATATAAGAAATAAATTTTTATCTAGGTGTTTTATTCCTTATCGCAGACGATAAGTTTTTCGTCCCCTTGTCAGTCATTTCCAGGTTGTCTCCAAAAGATGTTAAAATGTTAGGTCAGAATATAAATAAATGCATAGTAAAACATATTTCTGAACCATGGAGTACATTTCAAATATTTTTCTGTAGTGATGTGAGGTATGGTTACTTCGACTGTTATGCAGTAATGTCAGGCCCCATTTTGACACTAATTGACTGACTGGCTGTAAACAAGCTGTCTCTCATTCAGTACACAGGTATACACGATGTAATCACAAAAAGTGCTTTCCTAGCCGTCAGACCATTCATTCTGTCACAGTTTATCCCCTAGGTTCATTTATGATTCAAGTAATAATGGAAATGGAAACAAATACAAGATTTGACTAAACTTTCATATAGAGAGGAATGTTTTGGTGGTACACATTTAAAATTGATTTAAACATTGTCTTATACGACAAGTTTTTTTAGGTTGGTATATTCATAATGTATATTTGCGATTGAAGCATAACTGGTTCAAAATTCTACACACCCAGAAACCAACTTTCTTTATGGTAAAATCTGCAAATAGATCTATTTTTTTTCAAGAAAATAATATTTAACCTTCCCCAAGATAAAAACTATAGTTTGACGGGAAATATGATTGCGGACTAACCGTTGAGTAACCATGAATGCATTGCAGACATTACCCACATTACTTCATATGCAAGTACATAAAGGCAAATTAGAATAGAACGTTTTGGAGGAACATCCTGTTTATTCAAACTCTGCTCGCTAAAGTTTACAGGGAACTATCACAGTATATAACTGTTTACCGGTTACAACATAGTTTTCCATTTCAGATTATGAAAAATTATGCCCACAAGTTTAATCTCATGCAGCTGTCATCATACACCAGAATGACAAAAAAGGAGACCAACTTCATAATTCACACCCTATGACGAGTACTTCGAGACCTAAAGAGTGATATTTTTAACGGTATGACGTTCATTATCTACTTCGTAACATGTATCATACTGATAACTGGAAAAGTTTCATGCAATTAACTACGAAGACTACCTTAAATTAATGGTTTTTCACTATCTTCTGCCAACATCTTAAGGCAAAAGTTAATCCTAAGTATGCACAGATGTTTACTTATCAACTTTACTCCGCTTGCTTAGATGGAATCGTTAAGCATTTGTTCCCAGTTCATTTACACAACGTCATTATTTCATATGGTTCTGTTTATCTCAGTCCTTTTGGATCATTTCAAAACCAACTCTTTCCATTTAGGTCCTTCCAGTTTTATTTCTGAAGCTGATACAGTTATTTTAGGATTTTTGTTCAGTTATGCAGCTTATGGAGTTCACTGTTCATTTACATACAATCCTTAACTTTTTGATTTACTTCTTTCTTCTACAACTTACATTTGATAATTCTTTGTATTTTGTATCACTCTTATTGGCTCTAAACGTATCTCAGATTCCTGGCGTATTTATTATTATGATTTCATTCTACTCATTTATTCCAGTGAGAAAGATGTACTGCATTCTGTGCAAGTATCGTTCACCAGATAGTACAAGCTTCATTTGTATGCATACATACTTAGTTTCACTTATTTCTGCTTTGACTCCGCTTAGCGTCAAGTGGCTGTTTTACATCTAATGATAGTTACCAACGCAACTCTCAGTGCTTATAGTTTATTATTAACTGACAGTAGAACAGTGAATATTGTATACAAATATACATCATTCATCGGTTAATTTTAAGAAAAGTGTTTAGCACTGAATATCGAGTATTAATTGTAAACCGTACACAATGTTTACCATTTCAATACATAGACTGTTACGTTAAATTTGAGTAGACAGTCTCTAAAATCAGAATGATTGTAGCTGCACATCATTGATAATAAAACACATATTTCCTTAAATATATTAAACTGCATTACATGGACTGCTAGAAACTTTGACCATTGGGTATTTAATTCTTAACTAACCACAGCCGTATCACGAATCATTTAATGTAGTAAATGGCCTCAAGTTAGAAATCTTGACAATTTTAAGGTCATATATGCTGATAGATATGTGAATTGTGACCGTGACACAACTTGACAGTGACAACGACTATCATTTAACAACTTATTCACCTAACCACAGACTATCAAGAATATTACACAGGAAGTAAGCAATTATGCAATGGAAAGATTTAGACTAAAAATAGTGACAGGATTATAATATTTTAGCTTTATTTCCGCAGATTATCAGTAACTTTTTTCCAAAGCGTAGTGATACAGTGAACAGGTGTTTAATTAGCCTAAACAAGTTGTAGTCGTCAGCCACTGTGTGTGTATGTGTAAGTGTGAGCGTTAACAAACGCACAAATTGATGCACATATAGACATAGTTATATGCAGTCTTTATAAAAATGAATTCGCATATGCTAAGATACAAATTAGTGTTCTTTTTTACTTCTGTATACGCTACACTCCACAAAGCTTTCGGGTAATAAACTTTTAGTAACGTCCAAACTTTTCTACCTTCCTAATTGAATGAAATCATGTTTAAAAGTGTAAAAGATACAGAATTGAGATGTGTTCTCACGTCAGGAATAACGTTTTATTCCATGATTAAAGCTGCAAGGCTTCAAGTAGTTGTTTTTAAGCTTTAGATTATAAAAATGTTAAGGATCAGCGATTAGCTGGTTCAGGTGGCATGAGTTCAAGGACCGATCACATCCGAGTAGCTCAATTCATTCCTTTTCTTATCTAGCACATACATTACTGTTGTAAAATGTGATACATTTTGCTTATGCCTTTTCGTACCGATTTCTAATTCTTTGTGTCAATTTCTTTGTTATTCTGGCAATTATAAATTCCAAATAGAACGGAAAATATACGCTAAATTGTGCTTACTTTCATATGGGAAAGATTTTGAGTTAAGACCTAAACGTGAATAAGTTTCAAAGTACTCTGATTCCTTCTTATCAGCAGTCAAACAGGCTGAGAAATAAGTATATGGCCTGAATAAAGTATTTTGACCCTGTTATTTGCCTGTTGCTGACTAACAGTCGAGTTCAGAATGAGCACTTCGTCCTGTTGGGGACTTCTCAGCTGTACGCTCCTGCACTCCAGTGAGTAACGTCGTTCTCGCTGATACTAGAACCCGACGTCCGTCGCTTCGAACTCCAAAGCGTTATCCACTAAGCCACAAGGGTATGAGAGGCACTTCTTTTGTAGCCGATATCAGTAATTATTTTTCATCAATACTCGTAATTTCCTGTTGTCATTTTGTATAGAAATGATTGATCTCTTTTGGCGTATGGACTCCTTCGCAGATGCCTCAATATTGTCCCATTGTTGATTGTGTTATAATTTGCTTGGTAAGCGCCAGTAAATCACAACATAAAGAATAATCAGGCAATATCGAGGCATCCGCTTAGGAGCCTATATATTAAAAAATTTCGAAAAGTTCGATCTAAAACAATGACAGGGAATTACGAGTATTAATGAATACTATTTCCCTTAACTTTGCTTATTTTAGCGAATATTTAACTGACATCAGTCTAAACTTATGAAGTTGTTAGAGTTGTTCGTTTAGGAATATGCAATGCAGTTTCCAGTATTCAGTATTCTTATACGTTTGTTAATAAGAAAAGCAAGAATTTTTCAGTG